TCCTACACCAACCGAAATTAAAATCTACGACTACCATTTGTTCGATGTAACCAAGCAAATGACGTTCAAATGGCTTTCCACTACAGCCCGACTTACAAACTTTTGCAGCGCCGTCTTCGACTTCCGGTATGACAGATTGCTGGGGTCAGGCGGTTTAAGTGACAGTCCATGTTGTCTGGGTTGGGTCTATTTATAGTAACAATGAACTATCTATACTATTATTATGTAATATCTAATCTAATCAAACCAATAGAAATCAATATTAAAGTACCTCAATCATGCTTCGACACTCGACCCAATACCCACCCAAAACCCACTGCATATACAACTCAGACGTCTGGGTTTAGTCTATATATAGTAACAATGAGCTTTATATAGCAAATTAGCAAGAAAACAAGTTGAATTATGATGACCAATATTTATTCAGTGAATTGAACTGTACCGTCTGATCAAGCTATTAACCCAAATCAAATAATGTCCCGACAGACCGCCATTTTTAATTAAGCCAAACGTCTGAATTTAATTTGTACATGGTAAATTGGGAGCACACAGTCTGGTTTTTGCCCACGAGCTGATGGACTTTATTACCAAAATAAACAATCATTCTAACCGAGTTTATCCATCCCAATCATAGAACACTTGTACTTGAGCTCTATCCCAGCACCATCTTCACAATGGCTAAAGCCAATACGACGATGTTTGTAATACCTTGCGACAATTGTGAAGACGCCCTAACCCGTGTCGTTGGTTGGTTGGTAGATGACAAGTTAGTGTTCGCTTCCAGCGGATGCTGATATCGCAAACTAGTTAGTTGTTAGTGTCGTACCGGTTGTAACATTGAGCTATTTATAGATATACGCGATCGAATCAACTCCATCTTACATAAGTTTGTCCATACCAAGCATAGAATACTTGTATAGTAGCCTAATGGTGATTCAAGTACATCAGAAATAACATCCGGTGTGAGGTCACATCCGGTAAAAAGGTATACGATTTAAGAATGGAACATCCGTTAAAATGAAAGCAAATCTGGTGTAAAAAGTACATCCGGTAGAGAAGTACTCTTTGCTAAAAAATTGGGTGCAATCGGATCGAATCCTCTGATGTACGATTATTACATTATTAAACCTAGCATATTGATTTATTCAGGGACGTCTGTTGGAATAAAAGAGAGAATATTGAAACACGTCAGTAGAGATTTTAGTTGAGTTATGTCTTTTCAAGGTTCCTCTGTAATTAAAAGAGTCTGCAGTGGTATTGTTCTGTAGACATCGAATGTTTGATGTAGTTCCTTAATGTCTTTTCAGTGCCGAAGTTTATGAGGTCTAATATCGGTATGAAAAAAAATTTGCTTTCATTCCAATCCACGAGTCTTCTTCATTGCTTCGAGAGCCGAGTTTGAACATTAGAGAAAATGTACTTTATAGTTTTGCTTGTACCAGGGGCGTATTTAGGGGGGTGGGTATGCCCCCACCACCACCCCAGGCCTGTAAAAGGTCTAATTTTGAAGTGAAAATTAATACCTTTAACTTCCTCTCAAGCCATCTGAAATGCGCTCGAAGGGACAACTTGTTACCCCCCCCCCCCCTCCCCCTTTCAGACATTTTCGTGATATTCTGTTAGCTCGTGTTAGCTCGTGCCAAATTAATCCAGAAACAAATCACTTCAACCAATCACAATCCGTGTAGAAATTACCAAAATCAAACATAATACATCATCAGTTATCTTTACAATGTCAAGTTATTACGAACTCCGTCTAACACCTTGACTTCATTAGCCACCTTGTGTCACGATTTGATTGGAGTGTTTGTTAGTGAATACAGCCAATCAGAACCCTCGTTAGAAAGACTGTTATCATTAGATGTACACGTTTAACTACTCGTGATCTGATGGCAGTATTTGTAAGCGTACAAATCGCTACATTGACAAAGACACAAGAAAAATGCCTTATTATGTCAAGGTATAAGAGGGAGTTCGCAATAGGTTGTCATTGTGAAGGTTGCTACTGGTATCAGATGTCTTTGATTAGCAATTAAAACATCTATTTTATTGTTTGCAGGAAAGCTTTATTAAACCGAATGATCAATACGTCAGCGGCAGAGGATCCTTACGACCCTAGAGCACCACCAGAATATGAAAAAGGTAAGCATTGATATAGCATAACAAAAGATGCCGGCCAGACTCCCCCACCACTCCCCTCCACATAATTTTTTTTTTATCATTTTACATAATGAAAGAATGACCTGAATGAATTTGTCAACTTCTAGAACATTTCCGCGAGGGAAATTGGCGATAAATTGAATTAAAGAAAACGAAAATTCGGACTAACCTAGTTATTTTAAACTCGTGAATAAATTGTTTTTTACTGATTTCATTACCAAACCGGCGCCGCTGAAATCCTCGGAAGATTTAGCTGGAAGCAAACATCGGCCCGAGTTGACACGTTTGGTAGAATGCTATCTCGTGATAATTTTGACGTCTGGACACAAGGGAGATAATTCATAATCAAATCTGATTTACATCAAACTTTTGTGAATTGTCGTCTGACTTTGGACCGAAGTTTTATCTGTAGGATGGGAAGCCTAGCTGTGGGTTGAAAACAACTAGCAAAATATTGCTTACAAATATTCGAAAACATACGAGAAGAAAATCATTGCCAACTGTTATTTAAAAAAAGTAACATTAAACCTTACCGCAATCGACTCTCAAAACGGTTAATCGGAACTGAAAGTAGCCGCCATATTTCGTATTAGTATTCACAGCGTTCTTCCTCATTGAGCTCGTTAGAAACATAGGAGTAAATCTAATTTTCTGTAGGATTTAAATTCCATACGATACCATCATTTGCTTTTCTAATGAATTTGGGAAAAGACTATGTCATATACACTGTTAATTATGCCGGTAGAAAAATACAGAAAACGTATTGGCGACCAAGCTTCTAAATTCATCGCTAAGATATTTTCACTGCTTTGAAACTAAGGTCACTTAGAATTTCATTCGTTCATTTTGACCATTCATTCATTCTAACCATTCATTCATTCATTTAACCATTCATTCATTCTAACCATTCATTCATTTAACCTTTCAACCTTTCATTCATTCATTAACCATTCATTCATTCTAACCATTCATTCATCATTTAACCATTCATTCATTCATTTAACCATTCATTCATTCTAACCATTCATTCATTTAACCATTCATTCATTCTAACCATTCATTCATTCATTCATTCAGGATGTAAGACATTCAAACCTAATTCACAATATGTCTGAAGGAAAATATTTTTAATGATAAAACATGGAATCAATAATTTTCTCTCAAAATTCAACAATTCTGTCAGATTGACTTGATTTCTACAACAAAAGGAATTAAATGACTGGCCGTCAACTCGCACGAATACACGATTTCTAGTGATGACCTCGGCAACTTTCTTTCGTTTCGGAGACTGACTTACTATTTACTGAATGATCTAGGGAGATCGTTGTTTCGCAAGGTCTTCTTCAGACTTAGCCTTACAGATGTTAATACCCTCGTGGTGTAACTAGTGGTGTAACGTTATGACTATGCTTGGAGTTGGACTTTCGGAGACTATTCTTACTAAATGACCTTGGGCGGTCGTTATATCGCCATGTCTTCTTCAGATTTAGCGTTTTTGACCAATTTTCATTTTTCAACAACTAAGTTATGACTATGCCTAGAGAGTTGTGCTTTTGGTGAATGCGGAGCCGAAACAGCGCATAGAATGACACTGTGAAAAGGCGCCTGAAAAGAATGAAATGAATCACGTGTTTTGACGAGCAACGAACTGAAAGTACATGGTGTCCACTCGCTACAGGGAAAAAATGCTGACTATACGATTGGGGTATGAAAGGGGTTACTGAATAATCATGAAGTTTGATAGTTATTAAGAAGCCTACTGTGAAATTCCATTTATACTTTTCTACGTCAGAATGAAAGGGTCTATAGGGATAGACGCAGACTTATATAAGAGCTTTAATGTTCATTTGCATATTAATTTCCTCATGAATATTCAACTAGATTTTGTAATTGAATACTATTTAATTCATTGATATAATAGCCCCTGAGATTCGTGTAGTAACTTGGTTAAAATATGCCGACAAAACAATTTCCGTTGAAATTCTCAAATGCTAATATGCCAATATCCCAATTTACCGGTCGAGGCAAATGGGTGAGCCCCTTCGAGAGAGATTTCGACCACCTCCCCTCAAATTCTGAATGAGGAATTAATCTGTAGAAAGAAGTAACTGACCCCCGTCTAGCTCCCCTTGAACCTTAGGCTCGCTACGGATCTGCCGTGTACACTTCTTTTATTCTTCAAAATATGGTTCAGTATAATCGGGACCAGATGGCGAATGAAACGTCTTTATTTGATTACCCATTGACCCGCCTTTATTAAAACCGGTTAAATTGCTTTTTCTCCGCTACTTATTTAATCCACAAACATATATATTCATTTTGCTAGACAGTCGCTTAATTATACTACTCTTCGCTGACAAGGAACAGAATCTAATCCAATAGGGCCGAAGGTGATATTGAGCAGACTAGTATTGTTCCCGCCGTTTTGACGTCTGGCGTGTGCTTATTACATTATTCGTCTGATGTCGTACAGTTTATGGTACAATAACATGGTTCGTGTCAGATTTGAATTGCCCCCATTCAACTTCTGTATCGTATTCGAATAACATAAATTTTTCGAAACCTCTATGTTTTTTATAAATAGATATCATTACTATTGAACTGTACCATTCGAACTGACCCGAATTCCCATGCTTCCGATCTGACCCCGGAGTAGACATATAAAGTTGGGTAGAGGGCTCTTTGATTTCCTAAACCGTGATGCCCATCAGTATCATATTGTACACTGAACCTTTACGCTAAGTTAGCCTACTATTCAACCTGAAGTAGTCTACAGCAGAAAAGCAGAACGGACATCTCGATTGAATTTTGTTATCATGACCATAACGCATGATGTTTCTATGTTTGCAGATCGAGCTACTAGTGTTACCATCAATGTATTTTTATTGAGTTTCGATTCTATCAGTGAAACAGAAATGGTGAGTTGTTTTAAACCCTATTTTTAAGTGTGTTTTTGTTATACCAATATCGATCTGAAGAAATTATTATGCATTCCCTGTTCTATGTCATTTGATACACAACCAATAAAATGAATTGTTATCACTGTTTAACTCTTAGGCCTACTTAAATTGTCGCTTTAAACAGCGTTTTTGATTGGCGAGCACAAATTAAGAGAACTTTTAAGATATTAGGTTAAAATAGAATTAGATCGTGGATGGCGAGTGAAGTAACCTTCAGAAAAAAACCAGAAACGAAACATCATATCTGCATTTTAATCAGATTGGTTCGAAGTCGTTTTACTCACGTTAGTCTCAATAAACTTTCTTTCAAACCTTAATCCCGTTTACGCCATAATCTAATTCAGTCGGTGGACTGAAACTGGTTGAGAGAGAAAAAAGACACAGAATGACTATAATTGAATTTGATTGGATGAGACGAATCTCTTTTTACCAGTTAATCTTATCTGCTGATAAAGGAAATAATTTGTAAAGCGTTTTGACTTGATAAGAGTAGACTCGGTCATTCAGAACAGAAGTGTTAAGACGTTCGATCAATTTTATTGTAAATTGTCCAGTCTGTTTTCTTCAATTACGCTCAATTACATTTCGCTATTTCACCGTGTTGATTTCGCCGACGTGTTAAGTTCAGAACTTGCTACTGCTGATCACTCATTGTCTGGTGGTACCGGCTGTGTGAGGCGAATTGTCAACGGTTGAATTGACCTACTACAACTCATCTTCACCATGTCAAGCCATTTCGAACTGTGTCTAATACCTTGACAGCAATAGCCAACTTGTATCACGATATTTTGTAAATTGTTCAGAGATCTGATTTGATTGTACACTACCGAAAACAGTCAATCATAGATTACATCCGTTGCCAAAATAGGCACAGTCTTCCTGTCGAGGGCTCTGATTGGCTGTATTCGCTATCGTACAATCCAATCAAATTGCTGAATTTGCAAATTACCGTAAGGTGTCTATGTAGGTATAAGACGAAGTTCGCGATATTTTGACATTGTGAAGATAGCAGCAACTATCACATGAAAAGATGAACACTAATAGGCCAAACTATGTGGACTAGAGTGATTAGAGAATAACTGACCGACCATTTCACAGTGGCACCAGGTGTTCTATGAATATTATCTACTCGTTAGAAATGTTAATTTCTGAAAACTTAAATCGAACAAAACGATAAAATATGTTCTATTTTAGGAATCGTTAAAAGGGGATCATGTGTCAGCTTTATTAAAACAGGAATCGTGACACAATTCTTTATCCCAGTGTTCAACAAAGTATCGGTTTTTATGTACCTGATTCCTTCATTATGAAATACTTACTCACTTATTGTTGATTAAACTTCCTCATGTGAAAAGTTCATTAGCTGCTACCAATATTTAGCCAATATCGATATGTTTTTTGGGTTTCGTTTTGCAGTTCGGATCGTTAGTGCTCTTTCATTTATTAATATGAAATCAGTTTTGTCAATCTGTTTATTGCAGAAGAGAAAGAAATCTTATTTTCACAATTTGGTCACCATTTTGGTTTTGGTTTATACACATTGCCTCTTTAAGTAAGGACTAAAAGGAAGAGCTTAGAGTTAATACCACGTGCTATTATTCGTCTGTTGTTGACACGTGAAACTGTTATTGGCGGGAAAAAGAGATTTATTTCAGAAACATCTTTCTCTAATCTCGTCTGGCCATCATCGATAGTTTTCTTTTATTCTTTATGTAAAAACACTATTAATTCCGGTTGTTTTATTTTGTGACATGTGTTGGTTAAGTGCAACGTGGATGAGATAGAGTTTTATGTCTGTTCTGTATCTTATTGAACTAATGAAATGAAATAGAGTTTTATATTCTACTGTTCTGTATCTTATTGAACTAATGAAATGAAATAGAGTTTTATATCCTACTGTTCTGTATCTTATTGGACTAATGAAATGAAATAGAGTTTTATATTCTACTGTTCTGTATCTTATTGAACTAATGAAATGAAATAGAGTTATATATCCTACTGTTCTGTATCTTATTGAACTAATGAAATGAAATAGAGTTTTATATCCTACTGTTCTGTATCTTATTGGACTAATGAAATGAAATAGAGTTCTATATCCTACTGTTCTGTATCTTATTGAACTAATGAAATGAAATAGAGTTTTATATCCTACTGTTCTGTATCTTATTGAACTAATGAAATGAAATAGAGTTTTATATCCTGCTGTTCTGTATCTTATTGAACTAATGAAATGAAATAGAGTTTTATATCCTACTGTTCTGTATCTTATTGAACTAATGAAATGAAATAGAGTTTTAAATCCTACTGTTCTGTATCTTATTGGACTTATGAAATGAAATAGAGTTTTAAATCCAACTGTTTTGTGACTTATTGAACTTCTGAAATGAAATGGGATTTAATATCCCACTGTTATGTACCATAATGAAATGAAATAGAGCTTTATATCCTACTGTTCTGTACCTTATTGAACTAATGAAATGAAATAGAGTTTTATATCCTACTGTTCTGTAACTTATTGAACTAATGAAATGAAATAGAGTTTTATATCCTACTGTTCTGTATCTTATTGAACTAATGAAGTGAAATAGAGTTTTAAATCCTACTGTTCTGTATCTTATTGGACTTATGAAATGAAATGGGGTTTTAAATCCAACTGTTCTGTATCTTATTGAACTTCTGAAATGAAATGGTATTTAATATCCCACTGTTATGTACCATAATGAAATGAAATAGAGCTTTATATCCTACTGTTCTGTACCTTATTGAACTAATGAAATGAAATAGAGTTTTATATCCTACTGTTCTGTACCTTATTGAACTAATGAAATGAAATAGAGTTTTATATCCTACTGTTCTGTATCTTATTGAGCTTATGAAATGAAATAGAGTTTTATATCCTACTGTTCTATATCTTATTGAGCCAAGTAAATTAAATGGAGATTTAGGTCTCACTTTTCTCGGCCTGTTTGGCATAATGAGGACGGAAAACTCCATGTATTGTGCAATGATGGCAATTTTGCCAATACACCAGCATATTTCCAACCCTTGCCTAGTTTCTCATCCCATCCGAATGACTAGACGCGTTTTCCATGTCAGCCCCTCCGATATTGCCTAGTAGAAGAACCAAAAAGTTTACATATAAAACTTAGAATCAAGAAACAGTTCAATCCGATATATATAGATCAAATATAGACCATTCTGTAAGCACAATTGATATGGAGAGGGGTTATACATGTATAAATCTATAGACGAAAATCTGCACCCAAATCCCTTTCATGTTTATGCGAATAAAACATTTTTTTTGGTCTTTCTTTTTATCACAGACTCATACCACTGATCTGAATTTCAGACTGAATTATATTACCAGTTAGCCCTTTTTCCTATCTCGTCTCTTTGAATCTATTATAACAAATAATATCTCATGAATAATAAACGCAGTATTTATTTATTGCTATGTATTGGTCTACTGCTGATAAAAATATAATTTCCGGAGAAATATTAACCGATTCCTGTTTTATTCCAGGATTATTCCGTCGAAGTTTATCTCACAATGATCTGGGTTGATGAACGCCTTCAGTTCCATAATTACTCCGAGTTTCAGTGGTTGGAAGTTGGAACGAAGCTGATGGAATCCGTCTGGGTGCCAGATGCCTACTTCCGGAATGAAAAGACAGCTGCTTTCCACGATGTCACAGTTCCTAATAGATATCTACACTTGCATCCCAATGGCACAGTCGTTTACAGTATGAGGTGGGCTTTAAATAGATTCAAATGAATGGAATTTTACTTCCGACTTTTTGATCAAAGCTAATGAAGAGGAGAAAACGCCATGCAGTATGCAATGATGGGCATCATTCCAGGACAGTGGCATTAGCTTACTCTTTTCTATTTCCATCTGATGAAAAAACCTTAAACGTACACATCCTGTAGCACGCTGGTCTTGCTTTACTATCCCGAACGACAACGACGCTTTCTCCATCAGACAGGCTTGAGGTTTTCATATATACTGATTTGCATCTGACTAAAATAGATCGTCCTCAAAGCATTAAAATGTCAAAAGCAGTCCCATGTGGATAATATTCACCACCATCGATTAAATTGGCCTGTCAGAGTTCTAGAAAGATAATTAAGGTTTATTAAGACTATCCTCCATAATATTCATACTGCCAGTATCCAGTTCTTAAATCTATTAATTTAAAAATAATCATATTTCATTATTATAAACATTATTCAAATCCAGTTGACGTAACAATATAGAATTTTGAAGTATCAAATGCTTTCTTGAATATTAGTCTACACAAAACCTAATTTATAATTGATGATGTCCAGCCATCAAATCTATTAAAGTGAAAATATTCATATTTCATTATTATAGACATTTTTCAAATCCAGTTGACATAAGAATGTGAGATTTAGAAATATCAAATGTTTTCTTGAATATTAGTCTACACAAAACCTACTCTATAATTGCCAATATCCGGTTTTCAAGTCCGTTAAAGTGAAAATAATTCGTATTTTATTATTCTTAACATTTTTTAAAATCCTTTTGACGTAAGAATGTGAAATTTTGAACTTTTATGTGAATTCTTGAATATTAGTCCACACAAAATTCTCAACTAATTGTGTCTTTAAGTAAATTACTGTTTTCTTTTCTTTCCAGTCTATCACTTCTTATATTTCCTGTCATCATGTCGTTGAGTCATTTAAGAGTAATAAGACAACGTCTGACATGTCAATATCGCTATTGAAAAATAAAAATGAATGGAATTTTACGTTCTACTTTTCTGCACCGTATGACCTATTAAAGACGGCCAATGTTACGCAGTGTACAATATGAGAAATTTAATAAATAAAATTGAAAAAAATAATAAATATAGTGCTCTAAACCCTTCTAGAGCGATACAGAACAAATTAAAATAGAACCTAAAAAACATGTTGTTACTCAGAGTTTCACACTTTGCGATCTTGAATATAAAATAATGAAGTTATATAACTGAGAATATATCAAATTGAATATAAGATAATGAAATGATATAATCTGAAACATGTGATGTGATCGTAGATAACTGTTGAAGTTTATCAGTAGAATGTGTCTTTTGAAGTGACAGATGCTCTCATTGATAATAGCTGAATGACTGCATAATGAAACATTAATATACATTAAAAAACAAGATAGACTATATAGATATACTACTTCTGAATGTATTACATACTACGTTCGAAACACATATATAATCCTTAAAAGACATTTAGGAGTAGAAATCACATTAAATAACAGAACACATTTTATGGTGTGCTACTTTTGAGTTTTATTGTACACATTATTTCAACAATCTACATGGTCATCGTCAGGCATTTTCGCCGATAATGACAATGTAGAATTGCCTAAACTTTGTGTAAACTAAAATTAAGGAATAGTATACCACAAAATTGTGTTCCGTTATTTAATGAAACACGCACAGGTAAAGTGTGAAACGATGAACAAAAACAAGTATGTAATGTCTTATTAGTACAAATACTTTATGTATATCTGCAGATAGTCCCGAATTGACAAATTCAGTTTAGTATGAGTTTACGACCCGTTTGTCCAATGTAGAATTATCCGTTGCATTTTCGTTTTTATTTCAGGTTATCCCTTACTTTAATCTGTAGAATGGATTTATTAAAATATCCACTTGATACACAAGTCTGTCCCATGGTCATTCAAAGTTGTAAGTATACATAGTCGAAATAAAAATCTATTGCCAGCTTTTAAAAACAAACACACACACAATCACATAACTCTGGTTTATATTCCAGAAGGTGATCTGCTGTTGTTGAGTAAAGAAACACCAGACACCAGCCATCACTGGGTTATATTCCAGATGATGGTCCACTGTTGTATTATTGTCTCTTTTTTAGAAACACCAGACAACACCTATTTCTGGGTTATATTCTACAGGGTGATCCACTGTTGTACTATTGTTTGTTTATAGCAACACCAGACAACACCTAACCTAACTATTGTTATTGTCTGTTTATACAAACACCAGACAACACCTAACTCTGGGTTATATTACAAAGAGTGGTCCACTATTGTTATTCTCTGTTTATACAAACACCAGACAACACCTAACTCTGGGTTATATTACAAAGAGTGGTCCACTATTGTTATTCTCTGTTTATACAAACACCAGACAACACCTAACTCTGGGTTATATTACAAAGATTGGCCTACTATTGCTATTCTCTGTTTATACAAACACAAGACAACACCTAACTCTGGGTTATATTACAAAGATTGGCCTACTATTGTTATTCTCTGCTTATACAAACACCAGACAACACCTAACTCTGGGTTATATTACAAAGATTGGCCTACTATTGCTATTCTCTGTTTATACAAACACCAGACAACACCTAACTCTGGGTTATATTATAAAGATTGGCCCACTATTGCTATTCTCTGTTTATACAAAAGCAGACAACACCTAACTCTGGGTTATATTACAAAGATTGGTCCACTATTGTTACTGTCTATTTATACAAACACCAGACAACACCTAACTCTGGGTTATATTACAAAGATTGGCCCACTATTGCTATTCTCTGTTTATACAAAAACCAGACAACACCTAACTCTGGGTTATATTACAAAGATTGGTCCAATATTGTTATTCAGAGGACATCTAAAAAGATCCCATACCTTAACACATCTAATTTGATTTGCTATAACCATTCCATAGCATAAAACAGTTTTTGTTTGTTTTTCAGATGTATATACCACCCAAAATGTCCAGTTTTTATGGGATACAAATAATCCTCTAACATTTGATAAAGAAATGGAATTAGAACAAGGTTTACCACAGTTTGCTATCACCAAAGCTGTCACAGAAAATTGCACAGCTGCTTTAGGAGAAAGTACGTAGCGTTTATTCCAACATACTTGAATGGATTATTGTAGACTTCCTATTAGAAATATTAAAACAGAACTTATGTTATGTTATGTTTTAATATTTTTATATCTCGCTTCAATTGATGTATTGAGCACTATTTTAACAGTGTTAGTTCTATATCGCTCTACAATTGATGTATTGAGCACTATTTTAAAAGTGGTATTTCTATATTGCTCTACAATTGATGTATTGAACACTATTTTAACAGTTGTATTTCTATATCGCTCTACAATTGTTGTATTAAGCAATATTTTAACAGTGGTATTTCTATATCGCTCTACAGTTGATGCATTGATAACTATTTCAACAGTGGTATTTCTATATCGCTCTACAATTGATGTATTGAGCACTATTTTAACAGTGGTATTTCTAAATCGCTCTATTTCGTTATATTAGGGTTCGGATTATTAGTATTCGTTTGTTTTTTTTTTCATTCCTAATAAATAATTTCTATGTCTTTTCAGCAACATTTGCGTGTATTCGAGCAATCTTCACTTTAAGACGAGATGTGCGGTACTATATCATAAATGTGTATATACCAAGTATTTTAATTGTGGTCTTATCGTGGGTGTCGTTCTGGTTGGACCTGAACGCTACCCCGGCTCGGGTCTCACTGGGTGTTCTAACAGTGTTAACCCTGAACACACATGGTTCCAGCGTACAAGCAGCCTTACCAAAGGTGTCCTATATCAAAGCTATAGACGTTTGGACAGTAGCTTGTTTAATCTTTGTGTTTGCAGCTCTTTTAGAGTTTGCGTATGTGAACGTTTTGGCTCGTCAAGGAAGCAAGCCAATGAAAAATTGTTGTTATTGTGAAAATCTTAATAATAAGGTACGTACATTTCTTTTTCTTGTCCAATTTTCACATCCCATTAATGATCTGACAAGACTCTGTTATAAATCGTGTTCTGTGAATTCTTTACCCCATAGCGTTACAAGTTACATTACCCATGGGCCATGAGAATGGAAAAAGAGTGACCCAATATTTCTCGACCTAAGATACATCAGAAGGCGAGAAGATATTTGAGAATCAGCCAATGTTTTTTATCATCCACTAATAGATATATTGCTCCTTGATTTATCACAAATGACAAGAATCTAGAATGATCTCTCGAACTAAACAGGAAAACGACTTCCGGTGCTACTTCCGTTCTCGTATGTGCTCTTCCGGTTTATGGTAATGCGCAAGTGGGTTAGAGAATATCTCTATATAAGTTGTTTGAATAACCTCTCAGACTATATGCAGAGCTAAACATTACGATTCGGAATTTGCTCATCGATTGACAAAACTATTCTATTCAGTGAATTCAATTACTTTGCTCAATTACCTTAAGTCTTATGTATTGGAATAATAACCCCTATTTTTAAAACAGATCTTCTTGTTAATGATTATGTATCTGACAGAAGATATTTTGGTCAAAATATTTGGCGTTTGAATCACCATGTTACGGATGAAATCAAGTATCTGAAGAAATTATCGTGGGTCTTGCTAAAGGGACAGGCTGGCCATTCTATTCGACAAATCATACTTTGGTCTCAGAAACGGGAATTTTTGTTAGCTAAGCTGATCCTCCATAGTGTTCACAGCTCACCGTCGAAATTTTAGCGTCCAAATCCACGTGTGTCTAGAGTTATCCGCGTTTGAATGTTAAAATGACGACTCGTCAGTTTAATATACTCTGTGATATATAGAAAAGACATGTATAGAAATAGTGAGTAAGATTCCTAGTTCGAGATAATTTTGAAGGAATTATGCGATCATGCGATATTTACAGAATATTCAACCCCCCATAATGGCGCACCTGTCTCTTTAAGTCAGTCACTAATGTAGATGCGAATAGCGCTCAATTACGTTATGTTGAACTCTTCCAACCTGCCACCAAAAAAAGGAAATAGAAACAGTTTCATTATGAAACCAGAACAGAATGTTTCTGACAATCAATTCCTTAATGAATGCCGAGTTTAAGCCTGTGAGGTGATAAACCTAGCAATGTTAAAAGAAGTCTTAATGATACAAGAACTATCAGAAGAATCCTGGTTATTTCTTCGACAACTCTCTCTAGGGAGGATCTTCTATTAACTACTAGCTCAATTCCTGTTCGCTTTTATTGCCTACTTTAGTTTCTGCTGTAAGTCGGTAGAATTCAGATTACATTTATGTCAAATCTAGTCGGTGTTTGGCTGTCTTAATTAGTATGATTTTCAGAGTGTCAACATATATTATTTTGTAATTGTATTTGCAACTCGGCAGAGTCCACATAGCTAATGATTGAAATCTGTATGAAGTTTCGTCAACTCAGCATTCGTTTTAGAGAGTCCACATGTTTAATAATGCTTTTTTGGCATGTAGGTTTGGAACTTTCAGAGAGTCCACATAGCTCGTAATATTGATTAATATATATATAGGTTTGTGATCTCAATAAATCCCTTTCTAAAATTTCACATAGCTAATGATATTTATTTTATTTGTGTTCGTCAACGCTGCATCTCCTTCTGAGAGTCCCGTGGCCAATAATTTTAATAAGTATATGTACGTTTGTCATCTCGGCATCCGTTTTAGAGAGTCCACATGTTTAATAATGTTTATTTGGTATGTAGGTGTGGAACTTCTTTCAGAGAGTCCACATAACATTGTTTATGTGGTTCACCGAACAGAATAAATAGTACGTCAAACAGAGTAAAGACTGCTGTTCGTATTAATAAACAGTGTGTCTGTATTAAGCGGATATCCATTAGTAAATGACAATAGTTAATAAAAAGCGAAAATAGAAAACAGCCCAGCCTCTGGGGTTTTTAATATTCACTTATTTCTTTCCCGCTTTCACAACTTTCAAAGACATTTTATGAATGGCTGGTGACAGAAAACCTTCAACTAGAATTTTGTGAATTTTCTTTAATGTAATCTAATGGATTGGTTTAGACATCTTTGTTTGAGTATTTTTTTCAAATTTCTATTCAATGTCAACATAAAGTTCTGGTAGAAATAGTTCTGGAAGGAATGGTTAAACTCTGGAAGTGACAAGTCGTGAATTAGATTCCACAGAAAGTCTGAAACTATGTTGAATTAAAGGAGAATATCGTGAAAGAAAAAAAAGCCGTTTTCGTGCTCTCGTGCTGCGGGTACTTCATTTGGACAGCTAGTTTTTGGAAATGGAGGTTAACTTTCCAATACACATGCAGATATATGGTCTGTCGTTAACTCAGGGTTCTACCATCTTGTATGTGTAAACAAGGTTTGCTTATTCTTCTAGAGACCCGATACCACTATTCATAATGAAATACTTACTCAATAATGATTGATAAACTTTCTCGTGTGAAAAGTTCATTAGCTGCTACCAATGTTTCTCTAAAATGTTGTTTTGATTTCGGGTTTTGTTTTGCGTTTCGGTACGTTAGTACTTTTTATTATTTATTATACCCAGGCACCTGCCAGCTAGTATGGTTGAAATCTCTATAAAGTCGGTCAGATAATGAAATATTGGCACCAGAAGAATTACACAGATATTGATACTACTTAATATACTGCTGGTGGACCATCTCCATTACTCCCGGGATGTTATAGTGTTATTATCATATCAAGCCAAACACAATCGCGGTGACTCGCTAACCTGAACGTCCAAGGGTTCAATCCCGAAAAACTTCTTCAGATTTTTCCAGCTAACTGATATCGCTATTCTGGTAATCTAACATCCCCTTCAAGTCAACTGATATCGACACTTTAACGTCCCCTTTCAATAAAATTTTTCTATCTAGCTGATATCGCAGACTATGTAGTAGTTGGTAGATGATACTTTAACGCCCACTTTCAGTTAAAGCTAATATCACAAAATAGGAAGTTGTTGGTAATTGACAGGTTTACGTCCGCTTCCAGATAGTTGTTGGTAGATCGCAGACTAAGTAGTTGTTGGTAGACGACTATTTAACGTCCACTTGCAGCCGATGCTGATATCGCAGACAAGGTAGGGTAGATGACCATTTAAGGTCCGCTTTCAGCAGAAGCCGATATCACAGACTCGCCTTTGGTGTAACTTGGAATTTATAGCATTATGATATTCCACTTTGACACAATTTTATCTGACTCGTATCACCTGACTCCCTACAGACCAAGTTTATAGCGACTCAGGCTATGATCTTGTCTGAAATATAGCCCTGGATAGCAGTTTATCACAAGATATATCGGTTGACATGAAATATTATAGCCGACATAGTAATGTCACAAAGGACAATCAGATGAGATTCTTCAAATATTCATAAAGTAGTTCACAATTATCGTCGCCAAATTCTATTAAAAGTTAAAACCATGTCTTGAATGTGTCAAGTCACCCGAAGATTAAACAGGAAACTGAATATCTCGAGTGCATTTTTATAGGATTAGTTTAAAGGGATTGTAAAGAGGTTTTCTAAACTTGTTATGTGTATCTGAGACACTGATAGCATCAATTTGCACAATCTAATTTTCAATCAGACGTCTGTATAGTTGTGTTATTGTTGACGTGATGTTCATTAGGAGCTATTGCGATAGCGGCGACATCAAACGCTTAGTTTCAGAGAAGTGCAAGAATTATATACGTCTGATTGGAAACTGGAATAGTGCAAATTAATGCTATCTGGATCATTGATACACATACAAAGTTAAGAAAAACCTCTTTTCCATCCCTTAAATATATGGCTACTAACAACGGTTCGGATAAGATAAGGCACGATGGGTGCACTAGTTTAAGGTTTCTTAACGCGTGAAGCCATTTTGATTGTCAAGAATGATATTAAGTGACTTTGGGTTAGGTAGGGATGGCCATATTTTTTTAATGCTCATTTTAGTACCGTCGCGGTGCGAATAGCCACGGCCTTCGGATATAGTCAATGCTATTAATCTTGTATAATTGTTTTAAAATGTTGCTTGATTATTTTACTCTTATTAAACAAAAGACACAATTAAAAATAATATGCATATATAATAGATGATGTGAAATGGTGTAATCTATTTCTGTTAAATGATCACGTTGTTTACAGATCTGTTGAAGCTGAAATATGAACATACTAAACAAATACCAATACTTCTATTATCAAGTACTAAACAAATAATACTTTATTATTTCTACACAAATACAATACAGTGAAATCGAAACGCTGTAGGAAATTCAATGTGCAATCATGAATTATGGTGATTTTTTAAGTTTTGAAAATTTATATAAATATCAGGAAGGTCGAGTAATTGTATTCATATGTAACTGACATTTTCAGTCGTCGAGTTTAAAAGGAATCGATATTTATTTTACCAGTATAATGCACTTAATGTTCTTATATAAAATGTTCGCGTCTAACTCTCCAGCATGCTTCTACTGTGACATTCTATTCGATGTCATTTATTTCAGTTCAATATAACTTCATTTCAGCTCTTGTTTTTTCATCACAATTCATATCATTTCATTACAATTCACGTCATTTCATTACAATTCATGTCATTTTATAACAGTTCACGTCATTTCATTACAATTCATGTCATTTCATAACAGTTCACGTCATTTCATTACAATTCACATCATTTCATTATAATTCATAGCATTTCATTACAATTCACGTCATTTCATTACAATTCATATCATTTCATTACAATTCACGTCATTTCATTACAATTCATATCATTTCATTACAATTCATATCATTTCATTACAATTCATATCATTTCATTACAATTCATATCATTTCATTACCATTTCGTTTCATTAGCCCAAAAGGGTATTATATTGGTAATTGTAATTCAGTAAGGTTCCAAAGATGCTGTATCATATCAGTTCAAATGCATAATTATTTTCTGATCTGAATTTTCCATTTCATTAGCCAAAAAAGGGTGTTAATTTGAAATGTAAATTGTACTATAGTAAAGTTCCATAACTCGTTGGTCTTAATTTTTCATTTCATTAGCCCCACTAAGGTGTTAAATGATGGAACGTACAATATCAATTCGTTTCATTTCATCTTAGTCCTAAGGCCATCTATTTTGTTAAAATGTTGTGAAATTATCGAGTCAGAAAATTAGATTCTAATGATAAAACACCAAGATATGATAAAACCTATCCGTTCTTTATTATTTCTTCAATTTTAGTGTCAAAATATTGAACGATGAGATAATTAAATTTGGTGATAACATTTTACTTGATATTACTATCAATATTTCTTTAGTCGCTTTTATTACATCGTCGTTTGAAATACGCCGCCTTGTCAAATTATACATGAGACCGTAGTTCATTTTGGCCAAATTGCTTCGTATAAGTCGGTGAATTTAAACCAAACATAACATCCGTTTAGATATAAGAAAGGTTGCAAATACTCATATGTCGTGTATGTGTATTCATATGAGCAAAACAAAGCCTAAAAATAGTACATGCTGATTGGCCGGTATGTAAACGTTTCTTGAACTCTCTGCTTAAAGGAAACCTCCAAATTAATGTTGAATGCATTATTTGCTCCAAAAGATGTGTTAGAATGCAACATATCAATTCGATGTATCGAAAATTTTCTTGGGAAGACCCTTTCAGACGCTCCATGACAGGTTTGAGTTGAGACAATGGCGTCTCTACAGAGTTGTTGCATTTTGAATTTAGCCTCGTCAGTTATCTCCCCATTTCCAGCCTGTCAATTCATTACATGTTCTTTGTCTATTTCAGGAAGAAAATAATATTATTGAAAGACCAAAAGTGAATAAACAGATAACAGACTGGCGAGAGCAGGCCAGAAAATTAGATAAAGTCTCACGATACGCTTTTCCCATCAGTTTTCTTACTTTTAACACGTTTTACTGGTTTATTTATATTTTTGTGGATTTATAAAGATACTCAGTAAGGGTAAGCATCATTTAACAAAATATACCACTTCCCTCTAGAAATGGCGATAACCTATCGTCCACACCCCCCAACCCCCCGACACTCTCGAAATTTCACCGACGAGTGTTATCAGTCTCCCCATGACATTTTTATGGCCCTTTTTGACCTCCCTCCTACTACACCCCCTCCCCCACCCCATCACAGCTATTGATTCATAGAAACGCCGTTGGAGGGAAGCTCGCTAAATAAAGACAGACGAATAAATTATGTAACGTTAAAAACAAAAGAAACGCTTTGATATTCATAAAACTGCATCTTCTCTTTTCAGACTAATATTGAAGAGATCTGATACCTTTTATGAAAGGTTGTGTCCGAGGATAATGAACAGAACAGAGTAACTTCAGGGAACTATGATTTTACATGCAGAGAGGCACTCCGATCATTGATCTTATTCTGACCAACTGTGATAATTTTATGTACAAAGTAGAGGAGATTTTTGAATTTTTTTTATTTTTGTGTTAGTGGCAAAGGATTGGATAAGGGCAGGAGTCACCAACTCAAGTTAACAGCCAGGCCTTGCCCCTATGCAGACTGAGAAGGTAGTATCAATGTCAAAAACTAGGTTTGCTTCACGTGATAGTGCTTTTTGTAACGTGCAGGAAACGTGCTTGATTGGATAATAATTAGAAGCAATGTTACGTTATCGTGCAATTCAGGACCATCTAATTCGTACACTTTCTGATATTGACAATACAAGGCCTTGGTGAAATTAAAATGGTAAAAATGGTCGTGCATTTTGTGTCGCGCAGGTTACGTGCGTGATTGGTTAATTTAGTAGCAATGTAACGTGCAGTTGGGTAATTTAGTATCCATCTAATTTAGTAGCAATGTAACGTGCAGTTAACGACCGTGGTTGGATAATTTAGTAGCCATGTAACGTGCAGTTAACGTGATTGGTTGGATAATTTAGTAGCCATGTAACGTGCAGTTAACGTGCTTGGTTGGATAATTTAGTAGCAATGTAACGTGCAGTTAACGTGCTTGGTTGGATAATTTAGTAGCCATGTAACGTGCAGTTAACGTGCTTGGTTGGATAATTTAGTAGCCATGTAACGTGCAGTTAACGTGCTTGGTTGGATAATTTAGTAGCCATGTAACGTGCAGTTAACGTGCTTGGTTGGATAATTTAGTAGCCATGTAACGTGCAGTTAACGTGCTTGGTTGGATAATTTAGTAGCGGTGTAACGTGCAGTTAACGTGCTTGGTTGGATAATTTAGTAGCCATGTAACGTGCAGTTAACGTGCTTGGTTGGATAATTTAGTAGCCATGTAACGTGCAGTTAACGTGAGTGGTTGGATAATTTAGTAGCCATGTACCGTGCAGTTAACGTGCTTGGTTGGATAATTTAGTAGCCATGTAACGTGCAGTTAACGTGCTTGGTTGGATAATTTAGTAGCCATGTAACGTGCAGTTAACGTGCATGGTTGGATAATTTAGTAGCCATGTAACGTACGGTTAACGTGCTTGGTTGGATAATTTAGTAGCGGTGTAACGTGCAGTTAACGTGCTTGGTTGGATAATTTAGTAGCGGTGTAACGTGCAGTTAACGTGCATGGTTGGATAATTTAGTAGCGGTGTAACGTGCAGTTAACGTGCTTGGTTGGATAATTTAGTAGCGGTGTAACGTGCAGTTAACGTGCTTGGTTGGATAATTTAGTAGCCATGTAACGTGCAGTTAACGTGCATGGTTGGATAATTTAGTAGCCATGTAACGTGCATGTATCGTGCTTGGTTGGATAATTTAGTAGCGGTGTAACGTTAACGTGCAATTCATGACCATCCAATTCGTTCCCTTTTTTTGACTTTCGTGCTTATCCATGGTGAAATTTCAATGGCTAGAGCTTGTTGAGAATTCGCGAACACACACTGACCGTAGAGTAGGCGTTTGCGATTTTGGGTAGAGCGCAAATTTTAAATGGAATAGTTTTTATATAGTTTGTTACAACAATGATCGTACAATTTAAAATTGTGTAAGGCAGAGCAGGATTTATGCATTTAACTTTTTACCTTTCCTTCTCTTTTTAAATCCTTTATCTATCTTATATGAATTTTTTTACAATTTTTCATTTTTGTGATGTAACTCTTTCATTTTTATTTGGGGTATAGTCGTCTAAATATTTGCTTTACATCTCTCATAATGCAAATTCGGCTTAGATATTCGAAACATTGGCTGTCGGCACTTTCTGCATTATTATTTGATTGTTGAGGAACAGGGCGTCAAAATTTCATT